GTGTACCCCCCTAGCTCCCAGGCTGACCCCCACCCCTCTGCCCCAGGCCTATATGGAGGACCACCTCCGCAACCGGGACCGGCTGGCCAAGGAGTGGCAGGCTCTCTGTGCCTACCAGGCTGAGCCCAGCGTCTGCTCCATTGCCCAGAACGAAGCCAACCTGAAGAAGAACCGCAACCCCGACTATGTGCCCTGTGAGCAACCCAGCTACCCTGCCCCAGGGACCAGCTCCCAGGGCTGTGGCAGGAGGGTGGTGCAGGGCACGGGGATGCCTGGGGCCATGGCAGGCTGTGGCGTGGGTTTGCCCCTGGCTTCCCCAGGCACTCATCACATCCCCTGGCCTCTGTTTCCCCAGATGACCACGTGCGGATCAAGCTGAAAGCTGAGAGCAACCCGTCCCGCAGTGACTTCATCAATGCCAGTCCGATCGTGAGTGGTCACCGGGGGCTCCTGCCCTGCCACCCTGCTCCGTGATGTGCTCAGCCCAGGCGAGGCTCCCACTCTGGGACAGAGCTGGACTGAGCTCGCATCCCTGTGGGCTACGGCTGTGAGCAATGGGCCTGCCCCATTGCTCAGACGTGGTTAAAATCCATTTCCCTCTTGGCTGCGGCACCCGAAGCTCCCTCCCCAGCCCTTCTATCACCCCTGGAGTATCCCCCCCACTCCTCCCGGTGTCACCGACCCCTGGCCGAAGAGCGTGCAGTCTGACACCCCCTTTCCCGCTCCAGATCGAGCACGATCCACGGATGCCGGCGTACATCGCTACACAGGGGCCGCTGTCCCACACTATCGCTGACTTCTGGCAGGTGAGCGTCACCTGGCTGTGCCAGCCCATCGGGGTCTCTCTGGGTGCTGACCACCAGATGGGACACAGCGGCTCGGCTGCCCTCCTGCCTGGGCTGTCACCCAGTGGTGACACCCCCCATGCCTTGCCTGCAGATGGTGTGGGAGCACGGCTGCACAGTCATTGTCATGCTGAGCCCGCTTGCAGAGGACAGCGTAAAGCAGTGTGACCGCTACTGGCCAGACGAAGGCTCCTCTCTCTATCACATCTATGAGGCAAGTGTGGCCGGTAGCCCGGGGCAAGGAGCATCCTCCAGCCCCCATCACCCCGAGCGCAGCCCCCCTGCCTAGCACTGATGCCCACCAGCTGCCTCTCTCGGGCAGGTGAACCTGGTGTCGGAGCACATCTGGTGTGAGGATTTCCTGGTGCGCAGCTTCTACCTGAAGAATGTGCAGTCACAGGAGACCCGCACCCTGACGCAGTTCCACTTCCTCAGCTGGCCGGCCGAGGGCATCCCCGCCACCACCCGGCCCCTCCTCGACTTCCGCAGGTGAGCGCCCACCTGGTGCCATGCCAGCCCCCGGGGAGCCGGTGGTGGTCCCAACCACAGGGGACTGATGGGCGAGGACATCGCTGCCAGTGTGATGAGGGTCAGGGCTGTGGCGTGGGACCGGCTGGGGGGACGGGGGCTGCCGTGCATGGGGAGGAGCAGAAGAACCAGGTTCTGGCCAGTTTGGGATGAAGCTCGGCAGAGCTTGGTGGGCAAGAAACTTCCAGCTAAGGTTGCCAGGGCTCTCCAGCCTTCATGGGGAGGGTGGGAAAGTGCTCTTCCCCAGAGCTGGCATGGGGGACAGCACCGCCTGGCACCCTCCCCAGCCATGGGTGCAAGAAGCAGCCCTCGGAGCCAGCCTTGAACAGCTGTGACCCATTGCTCCCCATGCCCTACAGCCAGCGGCAGGTCCCCAGCTAGCCCGGGGAGAGGGCTGCGGGGCTGGGACTGCTCCCAGGAGGTTTGCAGGCAGCGCCTGCTGGGGTCCCGGGGTTCCTGGGTGGTGGTGGGTTCCTGCCAGGGGCTGGCCAGTCACTGTCCCCAGGCCATGTGGGGCCAAGGACCCTGCTTAGGGCAGCAGGGGGTCCCCGAGCACGTCGCCCTCCTCTCTGCCCTGCTCATGCTCTCTCTGTCTCTCTGTCTGTCTCTGTCTCTCTCTCGCAGCTGCCGGCGTCATTTTTGTGATTTGCAGCTAGTAATCTGGCTCCAGTTGCATAGTCACAAAAGTGATCGTTGGCAGCCGTGCCTGCTGCATGGAGCATGCCGGGAGCCCCGCCGGCGCCTGGCCCCCAGCTTCGTGCCCCACCGGACCAGAGCTGCTCCCTTGAGTGTCCTGCCACTGCTCCCCTCCCCGGGCTGGGCACCCGAGGAGCCGGGCTCCTCTCCTGGCCCCTTTCTACCCATGGTCCCCCATCCCATGCCCAGCACCGCTGGGGAGGCAGGAGGAGCCATGTGCCAGACCCCCAGGGCCACATCACGGGGTGCCCACTGCCCCCACCCCCGGCTCGGCACAGCGAGGGGCACCTATCGCAGCCTTGTCCCCGGCATGGCAGGGCACTGACCTGCTCCCTCTTGTCCTTGCAGGAAGGTGAACAAGTGCTACCGGGGTCGCTCCTGCCCTATTATCGTGCACTGCAGGTACCGCCGGGGATGGAGGTGGGGTACGGGCTAGGGGGTGGCTGCAAGGCTGGGACCTGCTGGCCAGGACCAGTCCCTGGAGCCTGTCCCCCTGGTCCAAGCGTCTGTGTCTTGCAGTGACGGTGCAGGCAGGACCGGGACATATATCCTCGTTGACATGGTCCTGAACCGAATGGCCAAAGGTAGGTGCAGAGCAGCACCACTTCTGCCCTGTCCGGGGGGTACGGGGCCATCTGCTCTGCCCGTGGACCCCCTCCTAGCGCCCTTCTCCCCCTCTGCCCCAGGGGTGAAGGAGATAGACATAGCTGCTACGCTGGAGCACATCCGAGATCAGCGGCCTGGCATGGTGCAGACCAAGGTACCCCCCCAAACTGGGGATCCCTTCCCTCCCTGAGCACTCACAGCCCCTGGGGCTGGGCTGATGGGGACCCTCATGCCGCCTTCCTCTGCTCCCTCAGGACCAGTTTGAGTTCGCGCTGACAGCTGTGGCCGAGGAAGTGAATGCCATCCTGAAGGCGCTGCCGCAGTGATGGCGAGGAGCCCTCCCCTCTCGTGTTCCCCCATGCCCCTCTGGCTTCGCGTGCTCTCCTTGCCCTGCCCGTGGGGCTGCTCTCCCTGTAAAACGCTGTCTGTGCTGCTGGCTGTTTTTGCCCCCCAGCCCCCCCTGCCCCTCTCCCCAGGGACACAGGGCTCAGCCCCTCTGCGTGCAGGGCATGGAACCCCATCGCACCCGCCGCCACCCGAGCGCGGAAC